CCCTCAAAAATTGAGCCCCATTGGCACTTCCCTGCAGGGTGTCCCACCGGCTCGGCTTTCCCCGAAGCTTAGCTTCAGACCCGATGAACCCAAACCATCCATGGTACGGAATAGTTATACCTACATTTGGGGTCATATGGGGTCATAAATCAACCTGGATCATCCTGTCTGGTTGTCCTGGCTGGAGATTCCGGGTTCCGGATGACCCAGGTTCCGGCGATAAAACAGCTTCAGACCTCAGCAACCCCCCGGGCGTTGCATGGGGAATCACGGCCTCAGGTGCGTCTGGACTGCCGAGCAACCATGGACATAGACCTCAGCGGATGATGGGCACCAAGTGGTCCGGTGGACCAGATGAGGTGACCGGACACCGACCCGGTGTGCTTGGAACGGGGATGGTTCGGCCAACTTCCGAGCACCAGCAGAAAGCAGAAAACCTGGCATTCACCCCCAAAACACTCAAAACTAGGAGTCCTATTCATGTCATGTCATTCAGTTCATGTCAATAGGAGAAGTTCATGTCATTTCCCCCAGCGGGCCCCAGCGTATGAAAGGGCTTCCCACCTCCCAGCTGTCATCTCCCCCTCCAAACCTCTACAAATCTCCACTCCACCAAGTCCCGCCCCTCCGCGGCCCCGTGGCCGAGGCACCGATCCTGGAGCTGCTGCGAGCACCAGCAGCAGGAGCAAGTTCCGCGTGATGTGCGAGGTCTCCATTGGCCCCGGTCGTGCCCCGGTCGTGCGACGGCCGAGAAGCGTGGTCGGATTCGCAGCACGACTGCAGCACTGGGCGACTGCAGCGGAGGTTGGAGAGATGAAGCTACTATAGGGCTTGGGTACGTTGAGTCTACACTCAAACCACCTGTGACGACTGCAGCTACAGTCATAATATACGCGACAGCAACGTCAACAGCTCCGACCCAGTCGAAGGTCTTTCACTGATCGCCACGGTCATCCGAAAGGATTCGTCAGAGAGCCGAAGATAGGCTGCACCGTACGGGCTGCCGAGACGAGACGAAGAAGGAAAGCCACGAAAGCCATGCAGGCGAGTGACGAGTAAAATGGTATCGATGATCTTCAACATCTTTTTTCTTCCAGAAGAAAAAGAAGAGGCCTCCCCGGCACAAAAAAGCTCCTTCAACACATCCATAGATTGCCTTTTGTGGCCTTGGGTGGTTGATTGGTTAGTAGAGGGGATCCCCCAAGTGAACCACCAATGGGTTTATGGACCTGGCGCCGACCCCTCGATTCTTCCCAACAAAGAGAGGTCTGTTCGAGGCGGTGGACCGAAAACCACTGGCCATGAGCGGTCATCTTCCGAACCCCCAGCAAGGCCCTGAGAGCAACGAAGCCGCTTCTGACATCCCCATTCCCCATTCCCCTGTGAGCCAGCCCAGAACTGAGGGGCGGATTGGTGCATCAGTTGACGTTGCGGAGCTGGAAAAACATCTCTGCAAGACTTGATTGATATGTCTATTCTTGGTGTGTGGTGGCTAGGAGTGGATCGAACAACACTCAGAGTTGGGAATAGGCAAGCTGGGCTTTGAGTTCTGTGGTTCGCCTTGAGTTCGCATGCCAAGTCCTTCTGTTACATCCTCACTTGGTGGACTATGTTGGTTTCTTGCACCAGTCAGTGGCTCATGACTCATGACTCAGAAGTCGCCCTCCCTGACCCAAGGGTCGGCGACGTTTTGCCATGCAACTCTTGGAATGCCACAAAGCCCACAAAGCCATGGCCAGGCCATCCATACCTCGAGATGAGGCAACTCTGATACCACCTATATAACAGTTACTCAACCCTCCCACGGGGTGAGGTGAGTAGTTCGAATGCTATTACTACAAACCTTCAAACCTTGCAGTGAAGGAAGCTGCAATCCTCCAAGCCACCTGCCCGAGGGCCAGGGGATGGGGGGATGCAGGTCTTTTTCCGAGCATCTTCCATGTTTCACAAAGATTCTTGGATCCGCTGGGAGCTACAAACTCTCCGCTTGGCTGTGGGTCAAAACTGGTAGGTTGACCTGGTCGTACTCTATTCTGTTCATTTTCAGTGGTGAACCAAGGTCCCTCGGGTTCGACCCACAGCCAATTGGCTCGATTGAAAAATCCAGACATCAAAGCCAACCCGCGTCGAAGCCATTCAGCTCCTGACCAATTCATGACCAGAAACACTCACAGCCCCCCAGCGGCCCTTTCATCCGTTCACACTGCGATCCGGCACGTCGTCACGCCCCGATCAACCCACCGTCCTCACGTCCGGCTCACGGCTCGGCACCCGAGCAATAGGCGCCCCAATACGTATCAATGATTGGATGTCCATTGTACCTTGGAAAGGCAGGCAGCTGCCGGAAAGCCCACCGTCTTCCCCAACAAAAACAGTAGGATGGGTCAGCTGTGAGTCCCCAAAACTGAAGAATCGTTGTTTTTTTGATGAAAAGGAAGGGTCGGGGCCTTCAAATATGATGTTCACATACGCGATGTTCACAGCAAGACTAGAACAGGTGTTCGTGCCTACCATTCCACACGGCGAAAAGAACATTCTCCATCGAACATCCCATTGTCTTGTGATTCTAAATCACAAAACTCGTGACCCATCCTACCAGCACCCCGACCTGTCACGGTCACCACCTGCGACGACAGGAAACGCCGACCTGTTGGAGGGTCCGAAGCAGACCGGAGGGTCGTGTGGAGATATCCAGCCAGGTGACCCCGAACGCCCGGAAGCAGCTGGTAGCGAACGGATCGTCTGAAGAGTTCTGTACTTGAAGCGGGACATGGTTGGACTCTGGGGCCGTCTGGATCCGATAGAGCCCTGGTGGGCTCTCCGCATGGCTCGGCCCAGAAAGCATCATCGACCCTTCCCGAGAGATCCCAAATCATGTACCCCTATTTGGGCACCACAATCATGACTGACTGTTTCTACAAAAAAGTGCTGGTTGTTCTTCTATCAAACGGGCAAAAAAAACACCAAACAATCCGAGAATAGAAGTAAAAAGCTCTGCTAAGTTGAAATTGCCTGAACATTCCCCAAATGATGTTCCTCTTTTCTGGTGTCTTTCCTCCTTTCCCCGTGTGATCTCGCACCTTTCCTTCCTGTGCCCATCCCCCGCCTCCGGCCCTTCAATCGCTCAGTGATCGCCTCCAGGGCCCGTGGATGAACGGCATCTCATCACGGAGTCTGGACCCACCATTGTTGTAACGGTTCTACCGAGCTGCCATTGCTTGAGGACTTGAAACTACAACACCAGGTCAAGTTGTCTTGTAGAGGTCTTGGAAGGCTAGGGCCAATCACTTTGGATGATGTCAGAGAGGCCAAGTTTCGCGCAATTGACTAAACAAACACCTACCTTTGACTCTCTAGCTGTGCGATGTGTTTCGAACCTTGTTGAATCTGGTTGAACCTCTAGAAATGTCATGTTCGAACATCCCATGTTCCAACACCCACCTTTGGGTTCCCTTGCTTTGGCGTGAAAAACGATTTTGGACAACAAGTCCACAAGGCGTTACTGGAAGACTGTAAGCGCCCTTTTTGGTGGATAAATTTGATAAACAATTGTGAAAAAGGGCTTTGGAAAGCGTTGGAAGCCAGGAAAAAAATGCGCGTTACAAAGAAAACAGGTTTGAAGGCGTGGGGACCTGTGTTTTTTCGTGCGGTGTCCCGATTCTCCACAGTGTTTCGGGCTTTGCATCCACGTACTTTCTGGGTAGGTCCGTCGGCGATCACCTCGCCCCGGAGCTCGGCTGACGGTCGCCTGTTGGATCTTCGGTGCTGGACTCTTCCAATCCCAGTTGCTCTCCTCCGCCGTTTCGGCCGGCGGGTTCGAAACAGACCAAGACCAAGACCATCGTGTGATGCTGAGGCGTGGTTTGAGCAGCTACAAACAACTTTAACAAACTCATGTGAAACCCTTGGTTTCAAACAGCCATCCATCTGTTTTGGGCAGAGCTCTGGGCATGTTGTTCTAAAATACCCTCGGTGTTCCAACTATCAACCCCAAGAAATTGCAGCGTCGCCCATATTTGCAAAAGGGACTACGTGCTTTCCCCACTCCTTTCACGGCGAATGTGGGGTGGATGTATGTGTTCGTCCACCGTCCCACCGCCCTTACTGGGACCTTTTCAGCAGCTCCTTCAGGCTGGGCGGCGCGGAGCCCAGCAGCGCGCGCACGCGGAACGCGCCCTCCGCGCGGCCACAACCTCAGCTTCGAAGACGGTCCGGCTTGAGGTGCTTGAGGCCGCTTGGGGGTCCGGGCACAAGCTTGCTTCAAGCGCCACACGTCACAAATGCTTTCAAGAACGACCAGGACGTGTGCGCTTGCAAGGCATGTCATGTACCGGGAACGGTATTTCCGCAACACTGATGGCTGCGAACCATAGTTCTCAAACTTCGCACCAGTGCTTTGTTTGGCAATCAAGCACCGGCCCGCCGCATTGGACACGCATATATCGAAGACATGGGGGCTCAAGATGGAAATCTCAACATGCAACAACCACACACAATTGCAAAGCGGGACTTTAACAAGCTTGCTTGACAAATGTCCAGTATGACTCCTGTAGTAGGGGGGGCTGTGCACAATTTGTGAACAATGGCTGTCTTCCGTGAATGAAAGCTAGGCATGGGCTGCATGAATATATCCGCCGACCCCGGCCGAAGTAAGGGGGAGCACGTAAGGGAACCTGATATATATTATAATATTACACCTATATATTATATACACACTCACACACTTATAATACTGTACATCTTTGCGTGTTCTTATCCAAAACGGCAGTCTTGACAACTGAGTATTCAAACAGTGACCTAACTGACATGAACCAACACATGGCCAACAACCAACGACCTAACGACCGCGGCGCTTTTCAATGACTAACTTTCCGATAGAAAACATTCTGGAACGACAACCCCTTCAAAGGCCTCTCGAAAAGCCTCAACCCATTCTAGCACCTATCACGCTATTGAAGTGTGTTTGGCACCAGAGAAAAACTGACACGAACAAGAACACTGCTAGATTTTGACCGCGAACCTGTCTGTATTTTTGGGGCAGGCATTCAGGCATTTGAAAGTGGCTGACCAAAGAAGCCCCCCCAAAGCCTCTCTGAACGATTGGTGGACACCATCAATGGATCCTCACACCCCTCAAGAGCCACGTGTAGACCGTAGACCAGACCCCTTAAGGGCATGGGTTCACCTGCGACCAGACACTGCGGTTGTACCCCTGCCACACAAAGTAGGAAGTCAAGGAATACGCAGAGTTTGCATCAGCAAGCTTGATCATATGCTCCAGCTTGGTGACAGCAAGCAAATGTTTAGATGTTCACATGCAGGCGGACAAAATGCACTGCGTTGAGTAGAGAATATTCAGGAAAACCATTTTATAATCTATAGCAACCATCCTGACCCTTGACTTGAAACTATTCAGATGGAGGCAGTGGTATCCTCTACACCGGGTTTGAGAAAGTCTGTCTTTTGCATCTTTAAGCATTGGCTTGCTAAAGGTGTGTCTGTGACTGGCATATACCGATACCTCAGCTTCACACCTAAACATCAACCAGTCTTCCTGCTTGTGATCAGCCCAACAGACCGCGTTGCAACGCCGACCGCAACTCGGTCAAGTTGAGACTTTTTGAGACCGGGAGCCTTGCTCTACGCAACTTGAGGGAAAGCTGTGGACCCCATTTTTCAGGTCAAATGAGTCACTTCGTCGTTTTCTTGGCCCCAAAAACCCTACGCTGCGTAGGGTTTTTAGCAAAGCCGAACGAACAACCCTTGAGTGGATGCCATCCAAGAACCACCCCGAAGCGTCTTGGCACCTCCCAGGTGATCGAAGGCAAAGCCGAACTTTCACGCCGAGTTCAGCACCATAGCGACCATTCGACCTATACACCAATACACTGCGGTGCGGGGGCCGCACCTTCCATGTCCTGCCACTCCTTCATCTCCTGCCATGGCAACAAATAACTTTAAAGAACCTCGGAGATTCATCTGTCTGCCAAAGAGAGATCACATGTCGCCATGCCAAGTTTAAGAGTTGCCCTGTAGAGATCATGAGACACATCTGCCCATTTTCGAGAAAACGACCTGAATCACTTGAAGTTGTCTCTTCTTCAAACGATCTGACCACCCAATTGTCTGTCTGTCCATCTCCCTGCGTTTTCACAGCTAGCGGCTACAGTATCAGGATTCTCAAACGGCCGAGTGTAAATGAGCTGGAAGGCTAGGTGGGACCACCTCTTCTGAGATGTACCTAGTGAGATGGTCCGTTGACTAGGTGGGACCCTCCCCAGGTCCACCTCACATCGTTGGGTTCTCAACGCCCCATGCGGCTGTGACCACCTCTCGCCTCAAAGCCACTGGCCAGGAAGCCCTCCACTGCGCGGCCCACGAAGCCGCGCACGTCTGCCTTCGCCGCGGCGCGCGCGGAGACACCGCGGCTCTCCATGAAGCAGTGACACGGTGAATACCAAGGAGCAATGACTGGAGAAAGAGCAAAAATGACTGGTTGGATCGCTTCTGCCTCCTTGCGTTTAACGATTTTGAGGGAAATGTCTCGTGATCACTGCCTGAAAGTGAAAGGTGCAGAGCCCAGAAAACTACTTCGCTGGGGAGTCACTGGCAAAGAAGTATTTTTGGAAGGAGTAGAATACACCTGCCTCAGAACTCTTGACCCAAATCTCAAAGACATGTTTGACAAAGCCCTATATCTTGGCCGAATCAACCAAAAATCACACAAGACATGACCAAAACAACACAGAAAACAAGGCACCACAACAACGGAAACAAACAGAGTGATCAAAAAGAACACACGGAAAAGGATACAAAAGAAACCGGAAAAAGGCCTTTTCCATCCACAGTCTGCCACCAAGTCCTTCCACCAATCACCCTCGGCCCCCAAACCGAGGGAGATCCGCCGCTCTTGTGCATGGCGATGGCCTGGCATCACGTTTTCGGTGACCCGGAAAGCGCATCCTTAAGAAAAAGATAGATCAATCCGCGGGCGGTCAACACTGTTTTGAGCCCAAAGGTCTGACTCATCTCCAAAAATTTCGCAACTCAAACTCTTGCCAGATCCGAAGAAAAACATGTCTTAAGAGTGTGAGGACCTCGAAGAACTCTGAAGGAAACCCGGTGAGCTCTTCACCCCTGAAGGACTGGATGAGAACCTTCCTAGCAAGGAAGTGTCAGTCATGGCATTGGAGTTCTGGAAATTGGAGAGTTCGGGTCAGAGATCAGGGCGTCTTGAATCCTTGACGGCCGCGTTGCTACTCATCGCTAGTTCCTCACCGCTCCATGAGTGCTTCGTCACTGGGGGAAAGACTGCTGTCGGTGCATCTTCCATTGATTCGCCGTTGAGGTCAGTCCTCGCCACTTGGCCATCCTGGCCGGCACACGTGCCAGGATCCGTGTGCCGGGCGTCCGCCGATGATCCGAACGGATCAGGGTCAAACCCACGGTCTCGCCTTGACGATGAAGAAGGCCATGAAGGCGCAGCAGGCAGCGGCATCGCAGGAGGGATGCGAGGCGCGGCTCTGTAAGATGGCGATCCGCATGGCCTCCCATCGCCCCCGATCCCAAGATCCGCCCGGCCGTGAGCAGCGGATTGACGCGGAGGGAGGTGCGGAAGAGGAGGGGGAAGTGATCGGGTTTTCGTGACCTGGGCAAGTCTGCCGGATCATGGGCAAGTCTGCGGGATGAGGGTGGAATGGGTGCAAGATGTAAATGATTGATTCTTCATACAGATCCAGGTGCTCTGTATAGACGGTTTGCGGGCCGGCTGCAGAAGCCTTCTTCAAAGTCTACCCGCACAGAACCACTGGCTGAGCTTGGAGGAAGAAAAGTATGAAAAGGATTGAAGCGGGGTGTAGCTGGCTGGACGATGCTTTCCGCAAACATGTGGAACATGAAAACAGCTTTGGCCAGATGCTCTGGCCAAATGCGTCTCTCTCCAAGAACGGAACCCGGTTTCTCCAGGCTCTCTGGCCGCGGGTCCGTTCGGCCCTTTTCCGAGACCTAACTGCTGTCCTCCAGGCAGCAGTTGGGGTCAAAGATCAGTACGTAGCCATGTCGACATGGTGCCAGCCAGTTCCAGCCAGGGCCGTTTTGATTGAGGTATGAAGGTTAGGGGGTGCCCAGCTACTCCACTGACTTAGGGACAACCACACCACCCCGACTATGCGACTCCCGGAGGCTCCGAAAAGGCTAGCCGAGGTCTTCTACGACAACCATAAAGGCACAGTCTGCAGTCCATGATGATCTCGACTTTATTTGGATGAAACATATCACCCAGACGCTCCTGGACCCTATATGCAGGTGTCGGACCCAAATCCTCTGGAGGGGTCTGGACCCTCAAAACCCTATGGTTTTGAGGGACCCAAGGGCTGTTTGGGGCAAATGAAAACAAAAGTGGTCCCGTCACCTGGCCACTTGAGAAGTGAATCAACAAGAGGTCTATGTCGTCTATGTTTCCTTCGAACTGCATTTGGATGCACTGATGCATGCAAGCCCACATGTTGGGGAGGAATTTGTACCAGCAAAACACACTGAATTCTCCAGTCGGTGGTCAGTGCAACAGCGTTGGTCAGATCAAGCCTGATCAAGCAGATGATGCTGATCACAGACCCACAGACCCTCTATTTCTGGTTGGTGCATGTTTGAATGCACCAGTTGCGAGGGTCTGGATCGCCTCATCAACGTGCGAGTGATAGGCAATGGGCACAGGAGACAGCCGCATGATCGAGCCATTTCCTGCAGGATACGATGCGTCGCACATTGTGACAATTAACTGATGCTATGAAAAACAGGTCTCCCATCAAACTCCCATCCTTCAAGCGGCCGTTCGGAACTTCTGGTTGCACCTCTCAGGACCACAGCCAAAACAAACATCATCACCTTCGGCCTCAACCATCACCTCTCTGTCCGGATCACCCAGGTCACCTTCGGATGTAACAAGCCTGCGGATCTTCATCTTCGGACCCGGAGATGTTCGGCTTCTTCCGTCACCGAGGATCTCCATCGACGGTCGCTCCGACAACTTGGGCTTCCTTTCGTCGGCGCGGGATCCCAGTCCAGGCGGACTGGGATGGTGGTGACACACATGTACCCCAAATTCCATGAATGGTCTGGGGATGTGGCTTTCTCTGAATTCTTAGAGAAGCCACGAGCCAACTAGATGTTTTTTGACGATTTTCGTGTTCATGTTGTCCAACACGTGCAGGCCGCGACATACCGCTATCGAAAGAAAAAGACCTGAAAGAGTCGCCGTGTTCCACCCAAGGAAGCTTACTGGTCTACTTCGATTGATCCTGACCGCGGACCTCAAATCGGGTGTCAGTGAGTCCTCTCTTTGGTGAATGGGTGGTCCCCAAACTAACGGAATAAAAACCATGTGTTGTAGATGTAGATTCTGGATTTTCTTCCATTTTTCTTTAACAAACAGCTTGAATGATGGTAAAACGAAGAGTCCAAAAGCAGTTCCTTGACCTCTCCCCAAATCATTTCAATCATGATGTGCCCAAAACATCCCAAAACCGCACACGTGCACGGCGCCTGCATCGTTGGCCACGGAGCCGTAGATCTCCGGCACGGGGCCACCGCGCAAGGCGTGGCGCTCCACGTCGGCCTTGGCGCGGGCAGCAACGAGGCGGTTTTGGGGACGGCGTGAAGCTCGGTGAAGCTCGGTGTGAGCACGAATCCCACACAAAGGGCCCCGCTACCCCCTCCCCACCCAAAAAAAAGAGAGGAAGGAAAGCACTTGCGGCATGCGGCATGCGGGTTTGTTGGTTACTCTTCCCTACTTCATGTCTGCCCAAATCTGGAACAAGCTCACGCTCATTTCCGGAACACCAGTGAGTTGCGCTCTCAACTTGAGGGCAAGGGACACCAAATCCATTTACTCTTACTATATACAATATATATGTGTGTGTTCCCTTGCTTGCTTCAACACCCAAACCATCCCAACAAAAAGAAGCAGTATCCCGTCGCATATCCCGCCCTAGCCGTAGCATATCCTGCAGGTGTCCGAAGACCCAGCTGTTCGGAGCCCGTCCCATCACGCGACACTCGCTGCGGCCCAAAGGACCAGGGACTTGGCCACATTGCCACCGAGGCCGACGGACCTTGCAGACTGCGCTGCAAAGAAATTCGGGCTGAGATGGCAGATGTTTTTCTCGCAACCCATCTGCAAAGTGTTGTTTAAATCAAAATGGATCACAATGGCCTTTTGATGCCTTTTTGGTTCGTGGGAGGGACCGGGCAAGATGGATGAAAGGCCGGCGATGTTTGGTCGGTGAGCCGAATCCGAGATCGAGGTAAAGGAGCCACGCAGCCTAGCAGCAACAAGAATGCTACCAAGAAGGAACAGTTGTATATAGAAGACACTCCACTCACCATAAGAAGAATGAACAAACCAAAAAGGAGGAGGAGGAGGAAGAAGGGTGTAAGAGTGAGAAAATATCAAACATGTAACATAATCATGAGTTATGAGTTTCAACAAGCAGTTCCAATGTCAATGACAGCATCCTGAGCACCGTTTGCTAAAATAACGAACTAAATTTAATTACATCGATTCATGGATACAAAATGATACAAATCTCACTGCAGCTGATCGATCAGCTCATGTGGCACGAATGTTGTGCCTATCTGATCTATCTTGCAGACTCAGATAGACAAAGGCTCGCAGACTCAGAAGGCTGGTTGGTTCCTACACGTCCACACCGTAGATGTTCTTCAGCTTTGGCTTCCGCACGATCGGCCGTGGCGACGCTCATCATAGCGGAAGGCATTGCAGTAGCCATGGAACCACCTACATGGCAGGGGGGTCAGACCTGAAAAAACCTGAAGAACCTTGGGGAGCCAGAGGAGGCCACATATGTTCCATTCGGATCAGGGGCCGGACAGACTTACAGCCACATGTTCTACCTGCAGCCAACATCATGTAGACTCATTGATGCATACACCCGCATCACAACGGTGCAAGGGGTGGTCCTGTGGGAGCGTTGGCATGACCTCTGCGCGCATCCAATTGGGGTGGGGTTATTGATCAAGAGTCATACAAACACAAAAAACAACCATCTCCAAGCCATACAAAACCATGGGTGGGGTTTTGTATTACCTCCTCAGCCATACAAAAACAGACCATCTCCAACAGCCCCGACGGTGCGCACCACATGTGCCACCGCAATCGAAGATCGCCACCATCGTAGCCTGAGGCGCCAAAAAATGGTGGCTTGAAGGGTGTGAACCAGAGTGAGCCACGGATCAACCGAAACAAAAAAGTGAATACCAACAAACAACCTACTACTAGTTACTACTACTCCTCCTCCTCCTACTCCTCCTCCTCTTACTCCTCCTACTCCTGCCTACTACCTACTACCTATTATATTATACCTACCAAAAAAAAGCCGCCAACAACAACCAATAAAGCATTTCCAGCAACCATCAACATAACCTGGACATAGTGTGGTTGAATGGTTTGGACCATGGTGGCTTATCGAAATCGAGAGGAAAGGTGTGCGATGAAACACACTCCCTGTCTAGAGGATCCAGGTTTTCCCGCAGGTATTCCCCCAGTAATCTGTAGAAAAGACACGAAGTCGCGATGGAAAAAAAAAGGAAAAAACGATCTTTTTCAATTTACTTGCCCGAGTTGATGTGTGTGTGCATATATATATAATTTCAACAAAGGCTTCTCAAAGCTATGTCCGTTCGTTCGGAGGGCATAGTTCATGGGCAAACTCCACCACGACAACCTGATGTCTTGAGTATTTACAAACGGTTGGAGACCTCAAGTAATGACCTCAAGCGATTGCAAGCAATAAATGACAATAAATGGCTATATATATAATATAGGCTATAAATATCAACCTGCAGTGGTGATACTTGTTCTCCCATTCTCCAACCTGAGCTGTGGACTGGTTTTTTTCATGACTTCGCCCCCTCTGCTCAAGCTACAAGGTCGCTAGGATACATTGCAGTGTTCCCTGAAGGGTCTGAAAGCTGAACAGAGCCCCCCCAGCAGATGCTTCGATCAGTAGACCGGACCGGACCGGACCCCCGAAGACGGGCCCCCCGGGCCCGTCTTCACTAGCAAAGAGTCGGCCAAGCCTGGGCGAAGCGCACGGATCTGGCACCTACCGTCCAACTGCAATCGGATGTGGCTGTAGAGCCTGTCGCTGAGAGTCACGACATGCGGCCCGCTGACCCGTGACAGGAGCTCACCCTTGGCTGACGGCGGTGTTATGAGCCCATGGATGCGTAAAGGATCTCACATTTGTTCTGCACTTGTCAGGTTCGGATTCACCCACAGATTCTGCACTTCTTGTCTGGAAGTCGCCAGAAAACAGTTGTCGAAGTTTCTATCTAAGGCACCTGTGGGAAGCTCTAGTTATCTTTACTTTTGTTATCTGTTATTCTTCCATACAAGTAAGCCAGCAGGACTTCTCGCAGCCATTGCAATGCCTTTGGAATTCTTGCAGTCCCCCCTGTATTTCCGCGAACATGAAACCTGCACTTTGCCAGATTGTTGGGAGCACCACGCGTTGCAAAGGCAGCTGTTGCGTCATGGACATGCACATTCAGCGCAACACGTTCCCGCTCGAAAAATGCACACCCCCTGGCGTTCCCAATCATGCATATTGTTGATTATTTCCGCAACTCGGAAGCCTCTGAGGAAACCAACTTTTGATAAATGGTGTCTTTGACGGTGGGTCGAAGAAAGTATTTTATACCCCGTGTTGAGACACATCCCGACTTGTTTGCACGAGACCTCATTAGCTGTCCCATCCCATCACTTTTGCCCGGGAATCAATCATGGCATGTTAATCCGTAGAAAACTTGAACTGTCATCAAGTTGTGGCTCCCTCTCTCCTTGATCTGCATCCAAACTTGCAGTCGAAAAGCATCGTCAACCAGGGACGGCTTGGCCATTCGGCCAGGTCCAGGTCTTTGGGTAACACTAAATGCACTAATTGCATTTCAGAGGATGAAATTCCATGTGCACCCATTTGCAAACTTAGAGAATTCCCAATTGAAGGAACTGATGCCCTTGTTAGCACCTGTAACGAGTGCAGCCCAGCCCAGTCTCCAAAAAATCCGTGCCACGTGGCACAGGGCCATGCTGGTGTCATCCGTCCTTGGCTCAGGACCCGAGAAACCACAGACGTGACCCGTTCACGGACCGGTCGACCTGCTTGGCTCCGGTTCCCAGCAACCTGGAGACCGGGACAAGAAGGGTCGGAACTGATCCAGAAACGTTTGATGAATGCATCAACATGCATCAACCGTTCGAGGAATCCAGAACATGTCGAGCAATTCGTGACCTCTTCCATCCCGCCGATGCTTCGTTCTTCCATGATCCCGAAGCTTCGCTCAGGTGTTCACCCAGGCCTTCGTTCGTTCTATTCTTCGTTTCTCTTCTTTCGCATGCACCAATTCTACGGCTCTGAAGTCTTGAGGCCAGCAGCGGTGCCATGAACGATGAATTTCATGCGACATGAACGATGGGTGTCCAAAGTCTGCCCTATAGTTCTATGAAACTCGTTGATACTCATTGAGCATTTTTCGATCATATGATATGTACCTGCCTTGTGCGGAAACGGAAACCAAAAGCAGTTCCCGTACTCAGCCTTGGCTCTAAGCAGTAAGGCAGCTGAGGGTCCACTGGCCTGGCTTCAGCTGAAAGCGATTGTACCTGGCGCAACCGCCGCAGACAACGCGCCACGTGTTGTTGCGAATCTCATGCCGTGCTGTTGGAGAAAGTGCCAGGTGGCGCCACGTGTTGCACTTGCCAGATAGTGCAGGACCTCTTTCTTCGAGCATAGTGTTCACACATACAGCACACAAAAAACAGGGAACTGTTGCAAGGAACTGTTGCCAGTTTTGGGGTGTTCACCCTTCAGCAAAGGGCCTAGGACCGAATAGGTCCTTAGTCTTAGTCTTAGTCGGAAAAAAAGGCTTTCGCTCCAGTGCGGGGCGTCCAGTGCGGTGCGGATGCTGAGCCGAAGGGTCCACGAATTCGTCGTCCGGTACACCGTCCGTCGTGGAGTCGCAGAAATCGAGTCGAGTGGTGACAGAGGAATATAGGGGCACACCCACTGTACGAGTACTCACTCCATATAATTATGCACTACGGCCCCCGGATAGTGGTGAATGGACACCCCTTAACCTCTAAGGAGATAGTAATTAGACACCCCTTAGGGGGCCTAGGTACTTTCTGAGTTGTCAGGTGAGAACACCCACTACCTACACTATTTATCTATCTCCAGTGGATCTGTCGCAAGTCTTTTTCTGGATCGACTGAGCAAGTCGACTTGCCTGACTGAGCGACCGTGACCTTCTCGTCTGCAGATGGACCTGGTTCTTCCAAGAGGTCCTTCAACCAAAAGCCATGAACAGTCACAGAGCTCGGGATGCCGATTCCGAGTTCGGGAGCAAGGAGGTCCGGTGCCCCGTCATCACATCCACGGCCCCTGGATGGGAACCACATCAACTCCATGTGGCCCTGGGAACCGGTGAGGAACCCAAAACATGTCGCCTTGCACCTTCTTGAGGAACCCGGGTTTCACGGGCCCGGCTTTCAGGCCGGACGGACCATCCTTCACCGGTGCGGCGGGGGTCGACCCCCGGCGATGCCACCCGGGTCCACCCCTCCAATCGCGCAGGTCACGCGTGGCGGTAGAGGAGACGGCCATCTGGGCGCGTCAGAACGTGATGGGAGGAGCTAGTCATCCTTGGAGTAGATGAGTCATTGAGGAATTTCCAAAACCATTCGCAAAACTGATCAAGTGTTCGGTTTGGTTCATATTCAGCCTACTCCCGTAAATATACCCTTCGCACAAAGCGGCAATGAGTCCCCCAGTCACTTGCCTTTCTCTTGGCTCAGCACCATCCGCACTACTCTGGCCCCAAAGACCATCCTCCACTGGAGCGCACCTGCGTCACGACCGCCCTGCAGCACGCAAGGCCTGGACGATGGTGAGCCAAGCTGGCTGTGAAGAAGCAGTGGGAGGAGTCAAGAACCCCAAAGAAGTACTCGTTGCGATGGTCAATTTTGCAGGAGAACGCAAAGAAGAAATTCCTTGCAGCTCCAGGACTGCATGGTGTACCCTGAACAAGGACCCACGAAGTCATAGCATGCGCCCAAGGCAGTAACCCACACATACGAAATACTCGACTGCTATCGAATCGCTCAATAATCTCTTCAACTCTGTGGGGCTTTGATTGACAGACGAAAAAGGATGACTGTAGTGCTAACCCTAGTGCAGGGGAAAGAACAATGCAGCCTTTCTTACTGTAGGGCGTGTCTTTGAGCCACAGGCGTCCAAGCTAGCTGAAGCTGCAAACTGGGCCTCCCAGCCGGTTGGTGTCCCACCTCAGACTTGGAACTGGCTTCGAACGTGGAAACTCTGAGACCACGGTCCCAAGAAACGTCCAAATCAAACTCAGGCAGGGTCCAAATCAAACCAGTTCTGGTCACGCAAATTTTGTCGACGTTTTCCTCTACCAGACTTGGACGACTTCTGATCTTCTACTTTTGGTAAACGACCCGAAAGTGAAAACGAAGAGAACCAGTGGCGTTGCACTTCGTCACATCCTGAGATGAAACTGCCAACGAACAAGCGACCTCATCCCGGTGCATCAGTCGACGTCTCTCGCCACCGAAGAGGACCTTGTTGCTGGGTGCGAGTCTTAGGACTAGCCACTTAAAGCAAATGCTTCTCCCACAGCTGCCGTCCCACTGCTGCCGCCCAGCCCTTCACTCCACCAACACGACAGCCCCCCAGCCCGAAGCTGCGCCGCGCGGCTCGTCGAAGGACTCCGTCACCGGCAGGAACTGCGGAGTTCCGACGTGTGGGCGATGGTTTCGTTCTTTTTTCCGAAGGGGGAAGGAGAAGAACACCTCGAGAGCGCCCAAAAACGATGCGGAAGCCAAAAATGTGTCAAAAGCAAATGAGTCGATGGCGGAAAGGTCCTTCCCGCCAGCGAACCACACGTGGTTTCAGCCAGCGAACCACACCGTCCTCGAGCGGACCACCAACAGAGTCACCGATGGCAAGCCTGGGAGGAGGTCTCGGCAGGGGGCGCAGGTGGGAGGAGGGAGGTGGGACCTCGCCGCGTGTTCCCACAAGAGTTTACTCCAGTGGAGAGTTTTCTCTACCTCAGGGTGCTTCAGAAGCGAAGATGAAGTTTGGGGCGTCTCTGAACGCTTCGATCTTTGAAGTATCGGGGACTGGGACGTCCGACACGCCGACATGCGACGAGTGTGCTGGCTCACCCGATGGAAGGTCCCTAAAGGCTTCCGATGGTCCCTAACAATGGTCTTTAGGGTATAAGGATGTTTCTTCTTCCTTCTAATTGGAACAGAGATAGGTCCTGTTGGGATTTCTCAAGGAGCAATCGTGGTACCAATCCTTATCAATCGATCGAATTCTTCCCTTCTCGAAGCGGGTGTCTTCGATCTTCGACTAAACAGCACGGCATGGCTATTAAGATCTGCAAAGTTAAGACCAAGCCAAAGCGAAATGCGAATGCCACGGCACACATCCACCCCACACTCCACCCATGCCAGGCACCCATGCCCCAGCAAAGCACTGATCGCGCTGCCACAGCCAGGGTCCTTCTCTGCTTGGGCTGCCAGGAGCCTTGAAGTCCAAACGAGAAGTTGAAAAGCTCACCCCACAGCGACGTCGGGTGACTGTTAGCCCGCTGCAAAAGGTAACCCCAGAGCACCAACATGGCGCCAGATAACATGTGGCCACAATAGCTTGGTATGGAATCATCAGAAGTACCAGATCATGCATATCATCGTCATGATATGTCTGGGGATAGCTCAGGTGCCAAGCATGTTGAGTTCCTTCCCACCTATTCCTCCACTGTGTCTGTGCCAAGGTTGAAACCATGGCGTTCCCATCTGGGCTCATGAGTTGGGGAGCCATACCGTTTAAGAGCTTTGGCCACATGACGTTCGCTTCCGAACACATGATGTTACATGAAAAATCAAGACTCAGACCCGAGTGAACCATCAGTGACGTTTGTTCGGAAACGCCGAGTGGTCACCGAGATGCGATCTTAACAACGATCCCGGTCGATCCGGTGCTGCACATCCACCGCTCGACCGGGAAAAACCGGATCATCGAGCCTCCAACATCCGGCATCGCTCTCAAGTGCCTCAGCGCAGCAAGGCAAAGCAGGTGGTGCGCTTTGCGCAGCCCATATTCATGAGAATAGAACCATCCTGGAAGGGTGCTTGTCCCGTTGATAGGTGCACTGTGAGCCCAATGCAGGTTCACCATAGATTGAATGTCCATTAATTTGGGTACAGTCAGGATATGGCTTGTGGGGCGGTCAAAGCACCACCATACCCATGAAGAAGTTGTTTGTATAGTAAATATGTTTGCTATTATATATATATATATATTATTGCATATGCATTATAAATATACATATCACATACTGTATCTCTCTCTTTGCACATGTAGCTGCCGAGCTGGCGTTGTCACAAGAGCCTTCACCTTCACCTCTATGGACTGGTCACCTGTACTGGCTTCGATCGCGTTGGATTCACTGGCGCGTGGCGCGTGGCGCGCTTTGCGCGATCGGAGAGGACTTGAAATACCCTCGGACTCACTCACATGGAAGTGGATGGCACCAGCTGTTTGGTCTTCGGATTTCATGGTCTTCCTTCTTGGCCAGGCCGTCCATTTCCATGTGAGGTGTTGGTCGGAGTGTAGATCGCTTCAGTTGCTTTTCTCCCAGGTGGGATCTGCACCGATGGCTGTCAGGCCATTCAAGAGCTGGTTTGAAGCAGACGGGAGGGTTTCGTGAAGGAAGCCCTCTATAGAACACAATCCACAGACGGAGAAGGGTATATATATATATATATGTGCCTCAAAGGATGCTGACCTTATGAGATGACTTTAGAGGCCTTTCTACTTCGCTACGTCAAGCACTTGGGCTTTTGAGATGTAAACCCCATCCACCCCCCATCCACATCCACATCCACATCCACCACATCCACCACCAAACCCTTCCCAACCACATCCCATCGCACTACTCCGCGCCCCAGCCCGCGCCCCGTCTGTGCCTGTAAGGCCGGCTGCAAGACCGAGCGCTCGCAGAGCGATTCGCCCGTCCAAGAATCGGCCTGGGAACCGAGCTTCGCCGGGAGCGAGCGAGCTTCGTTGCCGGGTCTGGAGGATTAAAAATCTGGATCGTCCGAGTCAACTCCCAGCCTCATCAACCAGGAAGTACAAGCAGGGTCATCATGGAGTTCTTCAGGAAAATCCGGAGGTGTCGGGTGCTCCAATAGACCATCTTGGCAGTCCAAAACGATCAAAAGCACGGTCTGACTAAATCCGACAAGGAACTTTCCAAGGGAGTTGTCAGGTTTGGGATTGTCCACAAGAGTAGTCCAAGGGAGTTGCCCAAGGGATCTGACGTTTCAAAGGATCTGGAGAAAGAAGCGTGTCGGTTGGACGCCCTTCCAAACAACTCCAAAAGCCAAAACCCACGATGCGGTCATAACGTGTTGATGGACCGAACAGTGCGAGTTTTTATTTGGACAAAACCGTTTTTCCAAGAACTCGGGGTACGTCCCGCCATCCACATCTACGTCCCTCCGTCCCTCCCCTCCACGGACATGGTTTAGTGCAAAATCTCTGACTTGAGGAGCTCGTGGTCTTCACCGTGAGTCTCCATGAGTCTCCATGATGGGCAACCCGCAAGATGCCAGCACGTTGAGAAGCCAGACGGTTTTGACTCGATTTCGCGCGGCTAAACCCAATTACACTGGGAAGGGACCCCAAATAGTGTAAAGAGGAACAGATGGAACATGGCATCACGTGGAAGGAAAGAAGGAGCACACAGATGAGAGCACAAGTATGAGAGGATACATACAAGAGCACAAATGTGAGAGTGCAGATTCACGAGCACAAATGAGAGCACACATATGAGAGCATATGGGAGCACATATGAGAGCACATGAGAGCACACATCTGAGAGCACAAATGTGAGAGCACATACTACGAAATCTGCACATGGAGGTTCACAAAGTACTGCGCCTGCCACGAAATCTGCACATTGAGATTCACAAAGTGCTGTGCCTGCTACGAAATCTGCGCATCGAGATTCACAAAGTGCTGCACCTGCCACGAAATCTCCACTTCCAGACTCAGCAAGTGCTGCGCCTGCCACGAAAATTGCACATCTAGATTCACACAGTGCTGCGCCTGCCACGAAATCTGCACATCGAGATTCACAAAGTGC